AGCAGCTTTGATTTCGCTGAGCAGCTCACAGGCTTCACTCAGAGATTCTCTGTCATCCAAACTGAAGACGAGCAGAAAAATGTCACCTGGAGAGACAAAGAACATCAGATGTAAATTAAGGTAGTTAGCATTCATTTTCAAATATAAAAAACAACATCCCTTAAAAACAGATTTAATACAGCACTGATTCCTAACCTGTCAGGATGGATAGTCTGCGTTTGGCAGGGAAGTCCCTCTCACTTGCCGCATCCAGAAGATCGACCTGGTATGCCTCTCCTCCTATGTGGAACAGCTTTCTGTGGAAGTCTTCGATTGTGGGCTCATAGCTCTCCTCAAAGTCTTTCCCCATGAACGCCGGAGAATGTTTGTTTTACCCACTCTGGGCGCACCAAGCACAACTATTCTATGACAATTTCTGGGCTTGGTCAAACGCAACTCCAGCAGGTCCACGGACCTCTTCGGGAGTCGATCAGCCGACACTTGCCGATTGCCAGAACTTGAGGATCTACTCACAACTATCCTCGTATCCTGCTGTCTCCAGCACCCCTTAACCTTTTTGACGAGCCCCATGCCTGTCGCTACGTTTGAGACTTTGGGGTGCTGGAGCACTGGACCGAGTGAGGTGCTCTGAAGATCTGGGTGCGTAATGCTTGATTGTAGATGCCCGGTGAGAGAGTTCAACATTTCGAGAATGCCATCAACGGGAAGATAAAACTTCTCAGTTGTGTTCATCTCTTGTGCTCTTTCAAGAGTCTCCAGTCACCGAGAGGCAATCACAACCTCACCAACCCAGTTGCTTTCCCATGTGTCCAGCGAAACAGAGCCGAGTGTCATCTCTTATACACCCACAGTTTCTGCGTCAGCAGGCTCATTCAAAATGCATTCCTTTTATAGAAGCACGGAGCCCCCCACGGCCCCCGCTTGTGAAAAATATTCCTTTGGAGGAAGACAAAAGTGATAGATTGGTCTAGAAATATACAGTAGACTTTTTTCAGTTGGTGCATTGCAGCTTTCTGAAAGTTATCCGGATTGTTTTAAATTACGATCTTACTTTGTTGGGGGGGGGCACGAAACACTGATCTGTTCTGGCACGTTTCTATTTTTAGCATTTGACCTGCAGGTGCTTCCTGTCTAATTCTGGGTAAATGTTTGGTAGACAGAGTACAGATAATTGCCAATATCATGGACAATTGAGGTGTGACGTGCGAGCGCAAATTAATTTTGTTTATCCTCTTTTCCTGAAACGCTGTCACGGAGACATTAGCCATTTGCCGTATATATATTTATATCTGTTATTTAACAGTTCCACAGTGTTTTCATAACAAATCCCACTTAACAACACATCCCTGCACCGCCCGACATAAATCTGTGCATGACGGATTTTATTATCCTGAACTGTGATCGCATACTCTGGAAGTCCCTTTATTTTCTGAATTCCTCACGACTTTTTCGAGTGTTGAAGCTTGAAACAGAGCAACTCTTTGCTTTATGAATCATAGATGACCTGGCGATGAGTCCTCTGCAGAACCTCCGGAGTCAGAAAGCTGATGTTATTTTTCCACGGTACACTAACATATAAATCAAATATGTATTGCTGGAGGAGAGATATGCTGATGTTTTAGGGAGAAGGTGAATCACTGGAGCATACCAAATCATTTGTGAGCTCAGTGCAGAAGTTAGAACATGATACAAAGCCTTTTTTTCCCCTCCATCAAACTATTCTCAAAATCCAAGGACACTTTGAATGGACAGCCCCCATAATGGTTTCTTTCTTGAACCTGAAAAACATGCAGTTATATATACAAGACTAGCTGATCGCCATGGAGATTGCAGTCTCACTCTAATAAGTGCACTTTAGTGCTACAGCTGAAAACCATGTTGTGATGAATAATGTATAAGCAGCCATAGTAGCTGATAATGTACTAGTAGATGGTTGGTTTCTAAATAGTGCTATCAGCAGTACATAATGGAACATTGATATACTTTTAGAAATACTAATGGGGTGCAAAAGTCTGAGAGAGCTCGTGAATATATTAGCTAGTTTGCGTTTTTCGAAATTATATTGTAAATTTTCCATTAACAATAACAGTGAGCTTAATAAAGTGAGCAGAACACGAATCCACGTATTTTAGTGCATCTTTGGTTTTGATCAGAGCATATACTTGAGATTCGCATTGTGCAAAATTTGCAGATTTTCTTTTTGTTTTCAGGACATAAGAAGGAGACAAAACACTGCCCCTAGAGGGCACCAGAGACAAACAGATGAAGTTAGTTGATTAACCAGTGGAAAGGAATTGATTATGGTTATGCACATCATGCTGCTTTTGTTGCAGCAGCATTAACTAAAAGTAAATTATTATTCCAATTCATACACATTACAGGACATTACACCCATTTTCAACCCTGCTCCTTTGTCTTGCATGGCCTCTTATTTTAGCTGTTGTTTTTAGCATTCTTTGCTTGATGTAGCAGTTTACCTAAACAACAGCCTGAGCCCTCCTTTGTCAGAGTTCTTAGTCAGAGTGTCTTATCCTCCCTGGTGTGTTCCTTTTGTGATTGGTCTGGTCTGGATGCCACTTTAGATTGCTGACTCTTTTACTACATGCTAAATGTAGCTCAAATAAGCAAGGCTTTCCCTGAAAAAACAATGTTCCTTGAGAGACAGCATATGTTGCTCCAAAACTTTTCAAATTGTTTATTATTATTGTTTAATGGACCTTTCACAAATGAGCAAGTTATCCATGCTGTTTGCAGCACCGCACATGATCACAGATGTAACCTTAGAACTGTGCACTGAAAACAAGGCTCTCTTCTTTAGCTCTGATGTCACAGCACCCAGCTTTTAAAAAAAATATGTTGCTGGTACTGAATTAAATTAAGCATATATTTTTTTCAAATACTTTTAAATATGCTGTCAATAAAAACAGAATACAATGATTTGCAAATCTCATAAACCCACATTTTATTCACAATATAATAGAAAACATATAAATGTTTAAACTATAAAGACATTTGACATTTTTTGAAAATTTGAGCTCATTTAGAGTTTAATAGCAGAACATCTCTCAAAAGTTGTGATCAGTGCAACAAAAAGGCTGGAAAAGTAAGTGACATTAAAAGAAACAGTTTGAGGAACATTTTCAACTAATGAGATTAACTGGCAGCAGGTCAAGTAACATGATTGGATATAAAAAGAATATCTTAGAGAGGCAGTTTCTCAGAGCTGAAGATGGGCGGAGGTTCACCAATCTGCAACAAGCTCTGACATGCCAAGAAGAAGCCATATGTGAACATCACTGGGAACACTGCCGTCTTTGTAACATAATACGGAAACAAGACCAAGGGCTGTCGGACAAGAATGGAACAACATTCCTCTCCCAAAAGACTGCCATGAAATTCAAAGTGGAGCTAATATTGTTCTTATAATTTTACATTTGATATGTGTTCTATGTTCTACTGTGAATAAAAATATGTGTTTATTCTGTATTTATTTACATTTTACAGTCTGGTAACTTTTGGGAATTAGGCTTGTGTGCCAAATTCTTAGTTTTAATCATCTGTAACAGTTTTAATAAACTTTATGGTTAAATTATATTTTTCTTTGCATTATTACACTATACATTGAAAAATCCAGCTTTTTTTTGATGAAATAGGATGTCATGTTAATATCCCTGAGACTTACTATAGCTATAACCACCATAATCTAAGTCTTCCTTTCAGTGTAGTAATTTACATTATACACACTCACTGTAATGGAGGTGTCCCCAGGAGGTATAAGACTGTGTTAATAGATTAATGTCTCCAGAAGTAACACATGTGCACACACACTTGAAGTCTGATTGCCTTTCTTGCATGACGTCATCACTGGCCGTCTCTCTCCTCCCCCTCTGTTTTCCCAGCCCTCGCCTGCATGTCCCCCCTGTCCTGACCTCATCACGCCTTTGTTGGGGAACAAAGAATGTTCAGGCATCTGTTTTGAGGAGAAATAAAGACAGAGAGGAGGAGGGCTGAAAGAGGTATATGAAATGAGCTTGACTGACTGGATCAGTGAAAGTGAACAGGGCGGCTGCAGCAAGCAATAGTACATTCCTACACACAGGGCTGGGCAGTACACACTTATTTCAGAGATATATATTATTTTTAAACCCCAAATCATACGTCATATCGCTTGATGACATTTTAATTCCTGTGCACTTTGCCCTTCAGTTGTCTTCAGGAGTGTTTTTGTTGTTACAAGGTTGAGCTGGTATTTCCTGTATATCCTGCTCAGTCAACCACAAGACCCGCTGCTCTCTCGCCAGCAGCTTCTCCCTTTAGTTAGATAATCATTTTGCACTCACTGTATGTTCATACAGACACCCTCAGATTACACTGTGCATTTGTCTGAGTCCAAGCCAGAGTGAATACAGAGCAGATTGAGGTCTTAATGCACAAGGATGGGAGTTCAGACAAGAACCCATTAGTGGTAATAAATAAGTAAAGAGCAGAAATGCATGGAAGAAGCTGGTGGGAAGGAAGTGTAGTTCTTTGTACACTCCCCCATGGGAGAGCATGTTCACTCAAAAAGTGTTGCAGCGCTGACTTTCTGTGAAAAGATCCGTGCCTGGCTTAGATTATTTGTTCTTATCTCACAGTACAAAATTGTACATCGGTCTAGCTGTGTGTTTGCACCACTCGCAAATTACACACAGTTCTAGTTGTTTTAAGCTTGTGAATGTTTGTGGCAGAGAAAAAGAGAGATTCCTCAGCATGTGCTGTGATCACCTGCTTCAGTTACGACAGATGATTTTCCATCAGGCAGTGAAAGAGTTAAGTCTGACTCTGCATGCACCGAGCAGGCCTCCCTCCCCTTCTCTCCATCCATCCATTTTTACTGTGTGTGTTCGCGTGTTTATAGGGGGCTGTGCCATCTGCAGGCTCAGTGCCTGGATTTGTGATAAGCACACACAACTTAGTTTGATAACAAACTAAACAGCAGCTTCCGCCTCCGCGCCAGTTTGGGATTCTTACACAGTCCGTGCGCTTCTCGCTGACTGCTTTGGGCTTTAAATATCTTTCTCCACTAGTTCTTCTCTGTGCGACAGCTACGGGATATGCCGAGAGGCGGAGGCGTTTCTTATTCTACCCAAAGCTTCCCCAAGTTGGGACCCCACTGACGCGCTATGACATGAAGGTAAGAGGGAAAGTGGACACGGTGGAGACGATCTTTATGTTTTTCGTGGTTTCTTTTCGTTTTATCGGGGTTTTAACTTTTAAACTCGGAAACAAGGCTGAGTCACGGTCACATACTTCACCTACCCGATCATCGCATTTGACGCAATAATGGCCCCGGTCTTCCTAGTTTGGGACAGAAAGAGCATGCCAGGAAAAGAGCCGCGCTTTCCCCCAGCGGGTCAGTGATTTTTCTCACGGCTGTAGCCCGCAGTGAAGAATACCTGGGCGGGTATGTAGGCCCGATCTGGGAGCAGTTTTATTTGGGGCGGGGGTTGCGTCCTATAAGTGCAGATAGATCGCGTTCTTTTAATTTAAGCAGGACTTTTTTTCTTTCTTTTTTTTTTTTAATTGTTTAAATCCTCCAAATTTGAAAATGGTCAAGTCAAGGTCAGAAATGGAAAATCAGTTGTGTTTTTGTGCGTGTTAATGTTTTGGGCCTGCTTCTCTTCCTGGCTGTACTTTGAACTTTGTGATAATTAACGAAATCGAGGTGCCAAAATTTGACTTAAAAAGAATTTATCGTCTTCATTTTGCCACATTAACAGAGGCAGAAATCTGTCCAGAGAGACTTTAACTGACTTCTGTTAAACATTTCTCCTCTGCTAGCCCTCATAAAACCACCTTTTCCTTTAAACTGACTTCCACTGACAGAAAGTTATAGGAAGAACGCATTTTCTCTTATTTTCTGGGCACAGCTATGTAGTTTCAAGAAGGGCCTAAGCAGTGAACCGGGCCTGCATTGATCACTGAACCTGCTGTTCTTTGAACCAGAAATAGACTCACTCACTCCCTCTTATCCTGGTACAGTCAAAGGTACAGCTAAATCTTTTGAGAGACAAAAGTAGCAGTGTGCTCATATTTCGTGTAACACAATAGATTTTCAAGCGTAATTTTTGCTGTTTTACTTTTTTTTTTTTATTGTAAGCCTACTGATGTGATTGGGCTGTCACTCATCTTTGTACTCCTTCATGTGGGGGAGAGGAAGCTTATCAGTTAGCTTATGATTCCCCTGACTATGTAAGACAAAGCAATCCAAAGTTCAGGACAAAGTGACATGTACTGTAAGGCATAATTTTCTGTAACTGCTGCAGAAAAACATTTTGGTGATTCAGGCAGATAGACATATGCTTACATGTACAGGACACTGGGTGTTTCGTTAGTTATGGGAGGCCCACCACCGCTGTCATGATGATGTAACCTGGTCAGACCAGCAGGGGAGGTGGAGCCCCTCCCTTTTCTCATAATGCCCAACACCTGCAGATTAAACAGTAGTCCCAGATACAGTGAGTTTGGTATGACACAAAACTGTGCTTTTATTAGCAGCAAAAGTGACGAATGAAATAAGATATAGCAAATATTTGTCAAGCTGGTGGCTGCCCGCTTAGGAACAGTGCACTGCATGCCTTAAGCCATCGCCCATGTCTTCAAGTAAATTCGGGGAAAACCGAGATCAGGTGTTTTTTTTTGTTTGTTTTTTTTTCACTTTGCTCAGAGGCGTGGAGTTATTTCTCTCCTTCAAACACTAATAATGGGTGGGAAAACATGAGAGCTAGGCGAGCTCACTAATGCTGCTGATAATTGCAGACAGAAGATGATGTATAAGGAGTTATAAAGCTGACAAGTTATGTGAAATTCTTATTTTACATATGCATATGCTTAAATCATGTTTTTTTCTTCCAGAAGGAGCACACTTGTGGACACAGCTGAAGTCACCTTTGGGCCTTCCCTTTAACCGCATTTTTCCATTAAGCTGAACAAGCCGTTTTCCTTTGAAGCAACACAGTGGGCTGGCCTGCTGCTGCTAGATTTTCTTCCTCTACCTGTTAAACACCGCTGCCATCATGCAGACATCATCGATCCGCCGCCAAATGAAAACATGGTCAACAACTACACCGAGGCCGAGATAAAGGTTAGAGAGGCCACCTCCAACGACCCCTGGGGACCCTCCAGCTCGCTCATGGCTGAAATTGCAGATCTGACCTTCAATGTTGTGGCTTTCGCAGAGGTTATGGGTATGGTCTGGAAGAGGCTCAATGATCATGGCAAAAACTGGAGGCATGTTTACAAGGCGCTCACGCTACTGGACTATTTAATCAAAACAGGGTCTGAGCGCGTAGCCAGGGATTGCCGGGACAACATATACAGCATTCAGACACTGAGAGACTTCCAGTACTTAGATCGAGATGGACGTGACCAGGGCCTCAATGTGAGGGAAAAGGCTAAACAGTTGGTGGCTCTGTTGAGGGATGAAGAAAAGCTAAAGAAGGAGCGAACCCAGGCACTGAAGACCAAAACACGCATGACAGGGGTCACAAGTAGCTTAGGTTCGAGTCCCTTACCTCCTCCTTACCAGGATACCCGAGTGATGAGGGCGTCAGGTGCAGAAGCTCTCCTTCCTCCTTCCACTGTGAGTAGCAGGGGCTGTTGTGTAACTACAGACTATATATTACATTACTCAAAGCACACAGTGTTGAGTACTTGAATATTTCCTTTTGCACGGGAGCTGTCATTTTTCTGAATCACTCACATGGCAAGTCACAAGTTAAAATGGTCATGAGTTCATCTGATAAGTTCCCTGAACTCTTATGTGATGAAGTAAATTGTTTCAAGGTAGTTTCGAAAACACTATTAGTTTTAATACTCACGCTCCACCTTTCCGAGCCTTGACATGCATAAACTGACTGCGATTTCGTTTCAGTTTTGCTCTCTTCACACTGTTGGGCATCTGCATTCCTTTGATTGTCTGGCAGCTAAACTGGATTTGATAGAGAAGAGGCCCAATGTGTGCTTGTTTCACTCCAACACAGGTTTACAACATGTTTGCTTGAGGTGATACTCTGTCATCTGCCACTTAAGTGTTTAGGTCATTAGATGGGTTGATGATATAAGACTGAAATTTTCAGTGTGCGACTGAGAGATGGTATCACTGACTTCATCAGCTACAAGTGACAACTCTAACTGGAAAGCTAAATGCATCATTTATAAATGTGGTGCTACTGGTCTGTACTATACTTTGGCAAATGTGTGGTCTTTGTGGGGAATGTTGTTTAAAAAGTCCGTTAGTAACTTTTGCCCTTGTGGTGTCTCAAGGGCAGATGTTTATCTTTTTGTCTGTGGCTTGCTTCATGAGGGAAAAGTAAATACTGTATACCCGCAAGACGGTATATGACTGTATTTTCTTTCTTTCTTTTTTTTGTTCAACAGATTTTCCACCTAATACAAATTACTAGCATACTTTTCTGAGCAAGAATGAGTGCCAGCGGAAGCACATGGCCAGTGTCCAATTCCTAGCTCTGGTTCTGTGGTTCAGAGATACTATAAAAATAGCATGGTTTATTTGAAGGAGGCTTTCCTATCCATTCCAGAAATCATAGCAAGGAATTGGATAAAGAAACCCCAGATGATTTAGAAAGCCCACCAGTCCTCTGTTGTTGTTTCTCTCTAGCTGATTTTAACTATAAAAAGGGGGATATTTTGGTGATTTCCAGAAGATTCCATGATAATGATAATGATTAGTACCGTGGGAGGGGGTCACCAGGTTGTCAGCAGCTAATTGCTAGAAAGTATTCCAGCTCAGACGGGGGATATTGAGGGGCAGTGCGGTGGAAAAGATTGGTTTCCGAGACCTGACTTTTCCAGCGTGTGGCCTGCTTCCCTCTTTTAGCCCTGTGACCCACAGCCTGGCACCCAGACTGGTAAGCTGCCAGCTCCCCCCGACCCCTTCCCTATTCCCTCTCTCAAATCTGGACCTGAATCCTCCAACTGGCCCAGAGGATTCGGGGTAATAAGGTGGGCCCACTCCAATCCATCCATTCCTCTCCCCCACCACCAGCCGAACTCTCCACACAGCCACACCATTGTTCTCAGTGCAGGCAGACTGTGGCAAGCAATGTGATCAAAGGCACTTAACAACAGGCAATGGAAAATTAACATGCAAAAACAGTGCCAGCTCGTTTCTGACCTTAAAAATCACCCTAAAGTGTTTCTTTCTTGGCTTTGCATCCCCTTCCTCCCTCCATCTGTTGATGTTTCTCTCATCCTATGGCTCCCCATTCCTCCCTAAAACCCACTCCCCTCTGCTCTTTCTCTCCTCAACTAGCTCCAGACCTGGAACAAGCACGGCCAGCAACCAGTGGCGAAGAGGAGCTACAGCTGCAGCTGGCCCTGGCTATGAGCCGAGAAGAAAGTGAAAAGGTACAAAAACACACAACACACTCGCTCTTTCAGTGAGCACAAACCTTTCACGCTTACAGGCACATGCGCCAGACAGAAAGAGGCTTCTTCGCTTTGTTGTTGACATTTTATGCTGTAGTAAAACATTAAACAGCTGCCCCAGTGGTGAAGCGTTGCTCCTGACTGTGTATTTCCAGAACTGTTGTCAGAAAATGATATCATCAGCTCAACCTCTAATGTAGCCAACAATGACCGAGCAGAGTGAGGAAGCTGGGAGCGAAAGAGTGAGAAGCCAGACAGAATGTGTGCATTGATCCACTCTCAAGCTTCCACAGCCCGCCCCGGTCTCCATGCCAAGGGC